TCACATACATGCCATGGCAAAAAGCTACATTTAGCTTAGCTTGGCATTTTTAATCTTAACGAATGAAATGATCATAAAACAGTATCTTCTTTAGTTTTTACATTCAAACATATGAGTTCTGGATTATTTATGAGCATGTTTGCACAAAAAGTAGTAAACTTACAAGCAAATGCTCCCCAAGGCACAACGCAAAAGAAAAGAGGAGTAGAGCTTTCTGTCTGCATGGAGAATGTTTTGCACACTGCACTTCACTTTCCAGTTGACTTCTAACCTACTAATCATATGATGTGAACTGATCAATAGGAAAACACAAACTTTTATCACGGTTTCGTACAACAAACTACCACAAGGTGGTGCTAAAGACTATGATATTGTGTGCCATGACAGTTAATAATATTTAATAGGTATTGCTGTCGGCATATAGCTTGTTAGCTTAGCTCGTTACACTAATTAGCCAGGGGGGCTGAGGCGGGAGCAGCTGCAGTATTCTACCTGCTTGCCGAGGAAAGCCGTGCACTTCCGAGTGTACCGTTATACTCTTTGTGGGGTTCATCAGTGGGGATGATTGATTAGAAGTACATATTGAAGGACATTTAGAGTCATCACTAAGTTATTACACTTAGTAGATGTATCATTCCTTCAGATTCAGCAAACACAGGTGATAAATGCATTTCATCAATGTTTCTGTTAAGGAGTTTGGATGCATTATTCGTCAGAACAGATTTTGTAGGCTACCTGCAGAGATTTGCATCCGCCCTTTATTTTAAACCTTATGTATAATGTCAATAACAGATATGTGAGTTATTTTAATATTTTCCAGTGTCTTACCTTGACTGTGAGCTATTAACGACCATAAACTGGTAACAGGGCCGTAGGTTCCAACCTCCACCACACAGCACCGGGGGTTTAGAAGCTACCTCTGCTAACGCAGAGTGGCATATAGCATTAGCTCCTTAGCTTGAGCTAACTTGGTCACGTCAAGCTAGGTGGGAGTGGTTTCAGCAACATGTCACTTCAGCTCGACCCACGACCTGCCTCTTTTCCCACTTTTGGTTATCCAGGAGTGACGCATGGTGACTCGCTGCCAAGATGGCGCAGGCCAGCTCCGCCAATTTTGAGCTTCAAAACGGCTCTTCAGAAACCAATGGGTGACGTCATGGACACTACGTCCGTTTTTCTATACAGTCTATGGTAACTAGCACAATACGGCCTATAAATATTATTTTTAGTATATATCGCAGTTCATATAATATATATCTTGATATCCACATTTTGTCTAAAATAACATACTGTTCTCAAATACTGCAAACATGACGATCTTGTAGAAACAACTGTATATAAAGTAGTTAAATATATTGTGTAAGATGCACTTTTTCCATGTATTTTCAATATAAATATTTGTCGCTGGTGTGTCTAAAGACCCCCAAACTATGAGAAAAAACTATTTTTTCTATTTTCTTTTTTACCTGCTCGGTCTTTCAGTAAATATATGTGCAAGCACACCGTTTGTATTTTGCTCCCTTCATGGTGTCATCGAGGGATCTGTAGCATTTGACCTCCTCCAGCCCTTAAAGGCAGGGTAGGTAAGTTTGAGAAACTAGCCAGAAACTGCTGGATTTTGAAAGTATCTAACAGAGAAACTCCCTCCCCCTCCCTTCTGGGCTCCTTCCAAAGCCACGCCCCCAAAACACGTGAACGCGCGTTGCCGACACCGCAGGAGGACAGTGTGACGAACGGAGAGCAGCGGCTCACATCAGAGGTAAGACAACATCTAACTTTATCATTATGAAAATAAACAACTAGCCCGGCTGTTACTACTCACTATCAAGCTAGCATGTTATTATTGAATAGGTTTAAAAAGACCGAGTTTTAATCAGTAACGAGCTGGCTAGCTGTTAGAAACAGGTAGCTGTGCTAACAGCTGTGGTAACATTGGGCAAAGCTAAAAACAGGCTGATACACATTTTCCCATTTCCATCAGTTACACTACACGAACGTGAATTTCGTGTTAGACTCATAACATGTACGTTGTTTTGCATGTTAGAGCTTCTACTGTGACAGCATTATTGTCTCTGAGGAGGACTGCATTCCAGAGCCAAGCACAAACCGGGACAGGCCCGGGGTCGAGGCGAAACAGATGAGGGAGGGCTGCCTGGGTCCGAGGAAGAAGAGGGAGGATGGGGAGGACGAGGTGCAAGCCAAGGAGCACGTCTTCTAGGACCTGTGTTGAGCTTTACGCTCCAAAAACAGGTATATCTATACATATATATTTTAATATTAGTCTATTATCTCCCAGTGTACTTGTCTCAAAGTTTCTCTGGTGTTTACCCCTAAGCCCTTTGACTGTCAAAAATAAAGTCCTTTATAAATGTAATCCATCACTATTGTTATTACTTTTTTATTACCGTTTACAACAACTACAGCTCTGCTTCAGCCATCGGCTCATCCGTGTTATGTACATTGACCTGGTGTGTAATGTGGACACAGAAGTCCTGTTAGAGAACAACAAACCCCTGTTCAATAAAAATATCTGATTTTGTTGATCAATGTTCTGTCCTATTACACCGATCTTTCCAATTCCAATCTTTTTGGGGTTCTAACAACTATATATTCCTTTACAGGCCAGAATCTGAGGACTGTGGAGAACATCCAGACTAATGTTTCCATGCCCCACACAAGGCTGATCTTCCAGACCCAGGACAGAGTAACACAGTTCAGTCAGGCAGCATACAGACAGTTTGTAGTGTGGCAGTGTGGAGCACTTGGTTACAGAGTCGTGATACTGAGTTGCTGTTTCTGGAAAATATTAAACTGTTCTCCTGATCCACCAGGACAAAACAGAGGTTTAATCCTAGCAGTGTGTAAGATGTAATGTCACTAACTGCTACACAAATAATTCCCTCCACTGTGTGAATGAATACCTGTACATTGTTTTCTTTTTATGCCCAGGAGGGTAGAGAAAATACAGAGGTATTTTTCCCTATTCTGGATAATATTTTCATTTTTAAATAAAACATTGAAAATGATAAATGCCTTTTCTTTACACTTGCAGCATAAACAATCAAGCAACTACATTTATGTCTTATGTCTGAAATAATGACATCCAAATGTGGTATAACACTTGTTTATTGTTATTATATACTACTAAAAACTACAACCTATATCAAAAATAGATCATTTTTAAAACATCAATAAAAATAAGTATATACAGGAAGAGACAAGGTGTGTCCACATGTATCTTGACTGATTATGAAGACAGTTCAGACTTTACTCGTAGCATCGTATCGCTGCTGTGGAGATGATTAATTATGGTAAAATAAGTAATGGCATAACACCAGTTACAGAAAAAAAGAAAGGTTTTCACACAGTAGGTTTAGCTACGAACAATGTAAAACTATATTATAGGTAGCTTATATACCAGAAACACAGATACTTGGGAACCTTTAGCCATCATTGTTTATGTACACTAATGTTGAAATGTCTTTCTCATAACTACAAACACACAGCTACATCATTTGTAAAAGAGAAACATACAGTCAAACAACGCCTGCAGACACAAGATAATTACACAAATAGATTAGATACAAGGTGTAAAGATAGGTGTAAACATAGTATAATAAACCTAGATGGTGAATAACTAAACCGGCGCAGTCTACAATTACACTGTCTTACTGCACTGGAAAACACAGCTTGCCTTGCTGTTTTCCAGTTCATCTACAGCTAGATATAATTCATCGTCTTTACTCTGGCTCCTACACCAGTCTGCAATCGTAGCAACCGTTAGCTGTATGCTAAGTAGGTAGCTACGTTTGCTAGCGATGAAAGTAACAAATTACCATCAAAATGATAAAAGCCAGATTACCTGTCCAGCAGAAATAAAGCCACCACGGTGTAACTTTTCAGCCCCTTGGTGTTCCTCAGTTGTTACTATCGTTGAAAAGCCACGCAGATGTTAGCTCCGGTCTGACTGCTTCACTCGTCAGGTCTGAGAGAGCTGACCGCCATGGCAGCGAGGGAGAGTGACAGTCAGCCAGCCAATCATTGCATTCGGTCCAAATGAAACAAGTGGCTGTCTTTACTGCAGCCCTGAGAGGACTACAGACAAACAATTTTTATACTCTCTTTTTCAGAGCACCTAACTTTTTAATATGCATTGGTGTATAAAGACAGTTTCAACAAATATGACAAAAAGTGTTTCAGAAGCAACTTGCCTACCCTGCCTTTAACACTAGAACCGCCAGGGTTCGTTGTATACCTATAACCGCCGTAGTGGGTAAAGTTTAAGCGCTATAAAAATGCGGTGATTTTGTTATTATTTCTGCTACGTGTTGCTCCAACACACTTTGGGAAACATTTAGCACATTGGCTGTGCATTTCCTATAAACACCATCCCCATATTTCAGGCATTTAAAGAATGTTTATTCTATTTTATTCATTGTCTTCACCGTGCAGGTCGTTTGCTTGCACTGCGCATCTGTGAAGGCCACGTTCACTATAGATGTTATAGCCTAGTTATATTCTAAACACAGCTTGAATACAGCATACAATTTACAAAAAAGACTGACTGTTGTAGTGTTTTATAAGCGGTAATAATAGTCTCATAATGCCGGCTAGTTCTTACTGTTCTGCTTGTTTTTTCGGACTCCATCGGGCATCCAGAGAGTAACACATAGCTACAAAAGTTTTAAAGTCCAAATAAAAGTAGGCTATTTATTCGAAAGAAACAACTATTATCAATTCCAAAATTTATAGTACATTTTTACCCAACAGAAAAATGTATAGGCCTAATGATTTTTTTTAGGGCGGGTCACAGGTGGAGCTGAGGTGACGTGTTGCTGAAACCACTCCCGCCTAGCTCGACGTGACTGAGTTAGCTCATGCTAATGTAGCACACAGGAAGGATTATGGTTAGGGCCGTGATCTGATTGGTTGGTTAAGTCGGTTGGTTCGGCTGCTGGAGCAAAAGTGAGGTGTTTAAAATGAGACTCAGAGACCAAGGATTAGATGTAAGATGATGCCGGCTTCTTATATTTGAAGATATGTATAAAAATAAAAAATATTGGTTGGTACCAAAAAATGAAAAAGTACAATAATAAAACAAGTATTGAACAAGGCGATTATTGATATCACAATCAGGCTATGACATCAGCATGAAATGCTTGCTTTCCAAATTTAAAGTGAGTATTTCACTCTTTGAAGTAGTTCTATAATTAAATTCCCGGGTGCACCCTTTAACCTGAATTTCTGTTAATAACACCACATTCAAGTTTGTTCAGATCCAGTTCAATAGTACAATCCAGTAGAATTCACACAGTACAACAGTAACCCTTAACTGCAGGAATGATTCCTACTACTCAGGTCCAAATTCTCAGTCCCAAGGTGTGAACAGGTGTGTCGAAGGTAAGTCAGAGTTCAGAGTCCCATAGGGTTGGTGTATGTATGTGTGTGGGGGAAGGAGTGTGAAGGTGAGTGAAGGGGTTTTGTGTTGTAATGGGGCCTACCACAAGTGCAGTAGTAGACAGGTCCATCTGCAGATCCAATCCAGACAATGGAAGAAGAAACACGCACACACACAAAAAAAACCTGACCTGTCAACAGACAGGGTCAGAGAAATATTCACTGCTTAAGTCTCATGCAATAATATACACTACATGAAATTCACAATACACAATGATATACATACTGTGGGTGTTTACTTTCTGTGCCTCTCTCTCAATATTCAGCATATAAACATAAATAACTTGGCTGCACACAACCAGATAAGCTGCACCTTAGAACAATTAAAGTTTTGATGCAAGTGCAAAATAAAGTAAGCTGAGTTTACACATTAAACAACACAGTAAACCAGCTTGTTCAACTAAAAATGTAGCTTCATATACAATAAGTGCACATAAATAATTTAAGGTACATAGTAAGTGAAATTCTTAAATTGAAAATGAACATTCTCACCGATTTCACCAGAGCGGATGGACACACACACCCAAAATGGCGGCGCCCAGTAAAGCCACAAGGTCTTCTAAAACCGAAACATCCGAGACCATATGCAACTTTCAGTACTTTCTCTCAGTGCAAAATAAATTAGCTTTCACAGTAAGGTGATAAAGAATGAACAAAAGCAGTTTTAAATGAATTACCTCGCTCTTGAATCAGCATAGACTGTGCGTCGCGGGGGAATCCTACGGACATCAAAGCTACCGACGCTTCTAGTAGTCTCAAACGCTATATCTAAACACTGAACTTACAACTAAATTCTTACAGCAGTTAGCTACCACGTTTGTAGTGTTGAAGTTAGCCTCAGTGTAGTTCGTTTTTAGCTGTATTTTCTCCAGGTTTCTCCGTTTTTCACAGTTTTCATCCTCTACAGCAGCATAGCACGTCTCTGTCTCTCCACACACACAGCAGCGGAAAAAAAAAAAACTTTCGCCCGCTCCCAGAGACACGGGAGCAGGTGGGCGGGCCTACCTGCTGTCAGCTGATTGGCCAAACTAACCTGTCGGTTGGTAACTGAATTTTAACCCTTTAAAATCCTTAGATAATCTCTCAAGTTGCATTTCAAGAATAAAATCACTCTCATTCAGATTTTTATAGGCTTTTCCTATTTTTAAACCTAGATCATTTCATCTGTGTTACACTAAGGAGCTAATGTTACATGCTCCTCTGCGGTGCTGTACGGTGGAGGTTGGACTCTGCGGTGCTGTACGGTGGAGGTTGGAACCGGTTGGAACCTGCTGCCGTGTTGTTACCAGTTTACCGACATTACCAGCTCACAGTCAAGGTAAGACACCGGAAAATATTAAAATAACTCACATATCTGTTATACTTCACAATGCTTTTTAATATATAAATGTGGTAACTTTAACGTTATTTTGCAACACCAAAGTTAGATTTTGTTGAGACCAACGTTAACAGTTAACTATGAATCAGTTATTAATTACCTTATGTTTACTTAACGTCACTGCTCAAACGAACAATTTCAAGCAAATCAATTAAACTTTTACATACCCTTGGTTACGAGCGGTTACGAGTCGTTTATTTGGACGTCACCTCAGTATGTCAACTTACTTGTAATAAACGTAATAAGCTAGCGGTAGAATCCTCACTCGCATGATGGAAGCTAATGTTATATATCTTTTATATCACGTTAATTAATTCCCCACACCGCTATTTTGAATAACGTGGCTGTGTGGGATTATTGTCTGGAATAGGACACTTGTGAGAGAAAGGTACTTTTTATTTGTCACAAGATTCTTGTTGAGGTTCTGATGCCTCCACATCTGCTACTCAAAGCTTAAACTTTGAGTCTAAAATAACATTGCTAGTCTTGGCTACGGGACATCTGACAGCTGATATAAAATTGTCTGTCTTAAAAGGACAACACAAAAACATTTAAAGGGTCTCCCTTGTTCCATTTTCTCCCACGTATGTGACAAAATAGTGCTGTCAACATTAAAACACTGAAGCATCTTTTAGAGCAGCATCTCAAAAAATTAGAATACTGAGGAAAAGTTTGTTGTAAGCAACAGAACCAGACTGAGGGATTCAGAAACCTTTGCAGGTGTTTTGAGTTAATTAGCTGATTACAGAGCTCTTCTCCAGTTGACATTTCTGTATAATTTATAATACAGAAATATATTTAGGCTATTCTAAAATGTTTATACATTTTGGGATACTGGAGTTTTTATTTCTATGAGCTGTAAACAGTAATCATCAAGATGAAAGCAAAAAGGGTTTGAAATGCTTCGCTTTGTGTAATGAATCTAGAATATATCAAAGATTCACTTTTTGAATTAAGTTAAAACGTTAGAAAATTAACTTCACCACAATATTCTATTTATTAAAGAATCATCTGTATTTACTTTACATTTTTCATCACCTGAAGCATTTATTACACATTTTCCTCCTAGAGTCACACTGTGGATCAGATGTCCCACCTGGTGTCAGAGAGCTGCAGAGACCTGGAAGCCTTGTTATTGTCGTGGAAGTCTGTATCTGTTGGTGTGGACTGATGTGGAAAGGCCTTCTCTCCTTCTGTTTACTTTGACTTCTAAATATTGTCCATATTTGTATCATAGATCCATTTAAAAAAAGATATGGTTTATGGTTCCCTTGTAATAAATTCTATATATATTAGCACTCCTAGTCTTTACTACTTACTAAAAAGCTAATCTTATACCACAGATAAAACATGAAACATTATAACTGAACTCTTGCTTAAGAACATCAGTCTAGTATAAGTTAAAAAGTGAAAATACTCCCAAACATGTTTCAAATGAAATGTTGAAAAGTAATTATGCAGTGTATTTCTGTGTGTGCAGGAGTATTTTTACTTTCTACCTTATGCTTTAAGATAAACTAGGACCCATACACACAGTAACCATAGACTATATAACGGAATCTGAAGTTCCTGTAGAGTGCCTTGTTTGCTGCTCTGATATAAGTCTAGTTTAAACACAGAATAATGCTCTGTCTAAGGGAAAATCCTCCGCTGCTTTGAGCTCTACACAAAAGTAAAGAGCAGTTTGACACATTGATCGTATAGTGGATTTAAACTCATATAAACTAAATAAATAAAACACACCAAATTGCCCCTTAATCCTGCAAGAAGGGAATAACAGAAAACAATGTAATTACACAGATTTCCATTTTATGTTAACAATTATGTTCAAACATTACAACACTTTATGACAACATACGTTTACATACCTGAATTCATGACAAAGGACAACAGTGTTGAATAGTCATCTCATGTGGACAAACAGTGCATGCTCTGTCTGAAAAGATCATCATGATCATGTTAAAGTTAGCTAGCTACACTGGAAAACTGTCTACTGGCAATAAAACACATAAACGGAAATTCCAATTATATCATTATAATTATTATAATGATAGAATCTGTTAATTAGAACCCAGTGTCATAATTTCACGTCAGTAGTGTTCAGGTGTTGTGAGTAAAAAGAAAAGCAGGAGCTGAAGAGCTGGAAGCTGGAGCTGTTCTCCCCTGAAGAGCTGGACACAGCTAATAACATCTGGGGGGTTCTGCAATCAGCTCCTCTGGCACCTGTAAAGACAACAGTGGGTAGACAGTTAAGCAGCTTCTTCCACAGTACCATAAAGCTACTGAACTCTGAGACCGCCTCAGCATGATAACTTCTCTGGCATGTGACAGTAATTAGGGGTGGCAATGTGAAATACACTGTTTACTATTATGTGCAATCTACGGTTTTCTGCTGGACACTGCAATAATAACTACTCAAGTCAGATCTTATTGAACGTTTATTATAAGGATCTTATTTTACATTTCTCATTGAACTGTACTACCTTTTTTGTCAAATTCTAACCCACCAAACAAACTCAGAGGCGGCTCTCACACACCTAATTTCTCGCTTTAACTAAACCATTGCCCTAGTTACAGCCCAGCTACCTGTCTGTAGGCTTAACGTGCATTATATGCTGACAAAAAAGGTGGATGTAACTCTCTGCAGGTAGCCTACAAGAGCTGTTCTGCCGAATAATGCATCCACCTCTTAAGCTTCCAGAAACGTTGCTGATCAAACGCAGTTATCACCTCAGATTGTTTGCTGAATCTCAAGGAATGCTACGTCTACTAAGTGTAATAACTTATTGATGACTCTAAACTGCCTTTAATATGTACTTCAAATCAATCATCTCCACAAAGAATAGTATAACGTTAATGTTTTTAAACAGTAACATTACACTTGGAGGTGCACGGCTCTCCTCCGGAGAGACAGCTAGCTCAAATAGTGGCATCGGTTTATCTGGGTGTGACAGTTTCAGGCAGAACTCTGCAGCTGCTCCCCCCTCGGCTCTCTGCCTTTAAACCCTTCTTGTCCATTGGGATCAGGTCAAGCCACTTATAATAGTATCTGACTAGTATCTAACTGAACATTGATTCCGTTACAGGACGTTTACATAACGGCAGCTAACTGAGAGCTGAGCCTTTACTTCTTCAAAGCATTAACGGTATCACCCTAATGTCTAACACTAAGGTTAATCTAATAACGTTACATTTTGGCTTCTCCCTTCTTGCTTACTTGTCTTTGACTCATTAAAAGCTGCGGTTAGAACACACTAACTTACTTAACGTTACTTACACTAATGGCTAATTAGTGCAACAAGCTAACGTTACGCTAACAAGCTATATGCTGACAGCAATACCTGTTAAATGTTAACACATAAATAAAATACAGGAATTTCACTAACCAAGTGGAACACGGATTTCCTGGAGGTTCTCTCTCCAATGACCTGCACAGCCTGCCATTATTCATCCGGTATCTGCATGTAGAAATGTCCAACAGGCTCCGACAGGCTGAGCCTCAGAGCTCCGTGTAGCTGAGTGAGGCTAACAGACAGCGGACCGAGTGCTAGCAGTGGCAGCGGCTAATGGTGCCTGTCAATCAAAGCGGCCATGCCCCTAATAATGCAGGACTTTAAGGCTTAATATAATTTAAACAGGTGAGTTATAAAAAAATTCACCCCCCTCACAGTTGTCACGAAGGGCAAAATTAGCCATATGCACTAAAACGATTTTTTGAACCAGGCTGTAAACATGTTTTATTCTGCTGTAAAGTTGGGCATTTTAACATGGGGGTCAATGGAGATTGACTCCCTTCTGCAGCCAGCCTCAAGTGGCCACTCGATGAATTGCAGTTTCAGATAGTTTCGTATTGGTATCGGAATTGAGAGCCGGAGGTTGCCGCTTGCCTTGGACACATCGCTCAGCCCCCACCATCAGACTCTCCTTCACTCACTGCGCTGAGAAAGCGTAATGCCTGTAGTGGGAAAGGCGTTGCCAATAGCAACATAGAATGTCTATCTAAACTCGCGAAATGAATACCGCTAAAATGACTGTATTCTCTATAGGGGTAAATTTTACCCGCTGGCGCTTTAAATCTGGCTTTATATTGACATTTTTTAACAATAGGGGGTGCTACATAACACACTTTTAGGAAAAGTCAGAGACTGGGGAACGTAAATTTGACCGTTGGCGGTTCTAGTGTTAAGCGTTAAAGTATTTTTTATTTATTTGTTTTATTAAAAACTTCATTACCGTAACGTGTCCAAACAAAAATTTATCATTTTGCTCTCTTACAGCACAATAAGTAATATATTAAATATATTAAAAAACATTTTAAAATTGTCTCTATTAAATTAATATTAATTTCCAATAGCAATTTTGATACATTTCTAAAACATTATTTCTATATATGGCTAAAACACTGTGTCCGTATACATTTATTTAATTACCGTAACACATCTCTCAAAATGACTGAATATATTTATAAATAAAGTTTTATTGAAAGGGAAAGTTCCACAGAACACGGAAGATTCAAGATGGCTACA